TGCCTGTCTGCCTGTCTGCCTGCCTGCCTGCCTGCCTGCCTGCCTGCCTGCCTGCCTGCCTGCCTGCCTGTGTGTCTGCAATGCTTCACCCAGAGCTAAGTGGGATACCTGCTTAGCGCTGGTGTCCGCAACCATTATCCACTTGGTCACCCCACCAAGATGGTAGAGGGGTGATTGTCCAGAGTGGTCGACACTACTGGGGGTGCGACAGGAAGAATTGAGGGTTGGTGGGGCCTCGTAAGGGGCTAAGACCCAAAACTGTCCACTCAGGATGAAGATTAATTGACCTCCAGAGGAAGGCATCTGAGTTGATGATGACATCTCGACCACTGGATTGCCAACTAAGCGTACATCATGTCTGCCTCGTCAACTAATTGTACATCATGCTTGACGGCAACAACTCCCCTCCTCACTTGCACCGTGAGCTGAAATCGGAGCACAGGTTGTCCAAGCAATGAAGATTAAGTGAACCAAACAAATGATCCGCCGGTGACATTCATGGCGTATTTCAGTTGTTCGGTGAATTTATCAAAGCCATGAGTGCATACGTCCGCCCAGGAATCAGCACAATGTCTTTGACGATCTGGAATGACATGTGCACACAGCAGTAGTAGCAAAAGGATTCCCCCCTTCCGCTTCCACTTCCTTTGCCGGAAGTCCACAGAAGCGTCTGCTTTGACTCCAAGCAGATGGCTGTGGAAATGTATCCATGCATCCAGCCTCGTACCTTCACTCATTCGTCCATGAGTCTGTCCACACATATGCAGGATATCAATGTACATTTACGATGACCAATATCATCTCAAGCTGGAGCAGTGCAGAAATTTTCATTTCAGTGGGATTTCCATGCACTTCACTCGGGGCATGCCCGACTTCAGAATGGCAGGGAAGCAGCACTGTTGAAAGAAGTCATGATGAATCAGTGGACGGATAACGAGTAGTCCAGTCGACCAGAGGGATCCACACTTACCCATCCCCATCCACTCCCCAAGCCGTATGTGCGTCCGCTAATTCACCAGTTGGTCTCTTTGTATCGAGCTCATCATATCTACTCATCTTGCAAGTCAGCCTCTGAAGCAGGTAGTAAGAAGATCAATGAATCACTGTCGCCATCTTTAACACCGAAATTTATACATGGAGGACTCTTCGGACATCGCACTCCACCAAACCGTATGCGCATCCACTCGTTCACCAGCTAGTCCCTTTGTGTTGAGCCCCTCATATCTGTTCATCTTGCAAATCAGCCTCTGAAGCAGGCCATAAGAGATTGAAGAAGAAATGTCGCAATCTTTGACACCCAAATTTTTCAGTGGACGAGTGTTCGGAGACGGCGCTCACCAACCCGTACGTGCATCCACTCATTCATCAGGTAATCCATTTGTGCGTTGAGCTCATCATATCTATTGATCTTGCAAGTCAGCCTCTGAAGCAGGCAGTAAGAGATCGATCAAGCAATGTCGCCATCTTTGACACCAAATTTATGAGCGGAGGACTCTTCGGAGCTGGCACTATACACCCAATAGCTCCAACTCCCGAGGATCTTCCTATTCATACTCTTCAATCCGTTCCCTCCTTTCTATCTTGGCCTCTTGGCTGAACAACAGACTAAGCTTATGCTCCAGCCACGTCAAATCTCCAGGAAAGAAGAAGATTTGGGGGAGGGGAGGAAACAACTGGAAAAGTGCGCAGCCCTTTCCTACAGCACGTGTTTCACTTCCACACAGCGCTGCTCCACCTGGCCAAACACACGTCTTTTTTCGCTTCTCCTTTTTCTTTTTCTGACGAGAGTTGTATCTACTTTGACTGCGCTCGACCAGCCTTCAGGGTCCCTAAGGGGACTCAATAGGCGATCTCCCTTCATGATTTCTCACCTTCTCATCCATTTCCAGTGAAATTCTGCAAGAGCAACATGTTGGTCTTTCAACGCCGATATTACACTAGTTCAGCCAGGGCTCGATCTCTGGACCTCATGCTGTGTACTGGACATTTAGTTCCCTTACATGCCCTCGGTACCAGCATATCTGTCATTGGCATTCTGGTACCGACTTCTTCTGGACATGACCCTGCGATCAGCCTACGTAGTAGCTGTTAGGCTGTTCCCCTGATATATATCTATATATATATATATATATATATATCGTCACAAACAGAACTGCCCGGTAAACCGTAGGCAGAGAGAGAGAAGAGGACAACAAACGAGGGGCTGTGACAAACCGTTTCGTCGGAGTTTCACCGACTCATCAGGAGGCTGATATATATAAACGGGTCACAAACATTTGTGCAATACCTCGTCTTATACCAGGTTCAGAGCGTTATATGTAAAAGAATATGGCATTGAGTTGCTGGTCATACTCTTCTTGGAGCGTCCCTTCGTCATCCCAGTCGAGCTCTGCACTGGAGTCTGAGCAAGAGTGTGTCTGTGCTCACTCCCTCTCCTTCCTCCTCCCTGAACCCCCCAGAGCCTGTTGCACCCGAGCTCTCCTCCTCGTGATTGCCCTTTTTACTGTTGTTATGGCGGCTTCTTCCACGACCACTCCTCCTTTCACTCACTTCCGGAATCGGTGTTGCTTTCATCGTCGTCATCGTCATCGCCATCAGCTGCTACTATTCTCAGAGGGAGATCAGAGAAGTCACCTATGCTAGTGTAGCCATCCTCGAGTGATAGGTACCCTGACTGAGCAAGCAAGCCGTGCACTTCCCGTAGCCTTCCCATCACTATATGAAGCTCGTTGGTCATTCTCTCCACGCCCTCTTGTGTCATCGGAGACCTGTCCATGGCTACTAGTGGGGTTGCACTGACTCCAATTTCCGAGCCCCTAAGAAGACCTAGCCCATCCTCATCCATCTTCACCTCGATCCTCCTCAAGGGATCAATCTCTTCCTGTTCTTCCTTCTTCTGGCCCTTGACCTCGCCGACCCATTTGTCAGTACTATCCTTTCCAACCAGATGCATGAGCTCCTCCATCTGCGTCTCCTTCTCGCTCAACTCGTCCTGCTTCACCAGTAATTCCTCGCCCTTGGCCTCCAGTGCCCATTCCATGGCCTGTAGCTGCATGGACAGATTGTCCCCCCTGTGCACAGCACACCTCCATCTCTCCTCTGCCACCTTCATCTCTCTGTCAATCCGTTCCACCATTGCCTGGGTCTTTCTCAGACATCCTGGTATCTCGGAGATTGCCTCAATCTTGTCACGGAGTCGCTTGACGTCCTCTTCTCTCCTGTCAAGTTTGTCTCTGACGTCCGCAAGCTCGTGATTGAGTTCAGCAATCTCCACCTTCTGCCTCGCCATTTCTCTGTCCTTCGCCTCGCCTTGTCTGTGCACCCTGATCAAACTCTCCTCCACGTTCCTAGCCCTCTCCCGGCTCCGCTGCATCTCCCTCTCTAGCTGCGTATACACCTCCCTCTGCTCCCGCATCTCCCTTGCGGACTCTTCTGCATGTCGCATCAGCATCCGATTCTTCTCTTGCACATCCTTAACAAGCCTTTCAAGTGCTGCCATGTGCGTCTCCTCTCTCCCTTTGACAATTGCCACTTGGCTCTCGAGCACTCCCAGCACATCGGTCAGTCTTTCGTTTCTCCTCTTCTCCTCTTCCAGCAGCCCGCAGCATCTCCCCACCTCCTCCTGCAGCTCTGCAATTCTGCTCTCCCTATCCTCCACTAGCCCTGTCAGCCTGGCAACCTCTTCTCTTGCCTGGGCTTCCACCGTCTTCCGAGTAACTTCCTGCAGCTGTCTGGCAGCCATAAGCTCGTCCTCGAGATCTGACTGGCGACCGTGAGCCTCTTGCAGTTTCTTCGCGAGTTGGCCTTTCTCCCTCCTTTCCACGTCAAGCCGACTTTCCTGTGCTCGCATGCGGCCCCGTTGGTCGTCGATCATCTCCGCTTGAATCCTCTCTCTTTCAGCACACACTGCGCTCTGCTCCCGCAGGCGCCTCAGCTCAGCATCTCTTTTACCCAGCTCCTCTCTCAGCCTGCTGAGTTCCTTGTGTGAGCTCTCTTCCTTGTGCCTCAGTCGATCCAAAATCTGTTCCAGAGCCAATACCTTCTCTTCCAGCCGAGCAACTCTCTCGTTAGCTTTCTTCACATGCTCCGCAGCTTTCTTCTCCTGCCCTTGCTCATCCCTCTCCAGCATAAACTCCTTCAACTTCATCTTCAAACCATCCACAAGTGTCCGCATGCTTTTCTCACTGTCCGCATAGCACTCCACATCCCTCTTCAGTCGCGCCACCTCTGCTGTTTTCTGGTCTATACCTGCCTGCAGCTCCGACTTCTCCTTCACGTGCTTCTCCTCTCTTTCTGTGCGTTCCTTGATGTCACGCTCAAGAGTTGTAAGGAGCAGCGACAGCTTTTCCAGCTTCGCTCGTTCGCCTTTCAGCTCTTCGCAAGCTCGCTCCATGTCTTCTTCCATTTCCTGAAGCTCCTTCTCTCTCCCCTTTATGCCCTTTTCAAGCGATTCTATTTTGGCACCCAGCTCCAGTTCATTTCGCTCTCTCACACACATCATCTCCTTCGCTCTCTCCAACTCCCCTTCCAATCTCTCCACAGCCCATTCCGATGCAAGCAGTTTCTCCTCGCTGTCTTTTGTCCCCACAGAGGCAACATTTACACCACGCCCTCGAAGCTCCTCCGCCTCAATCTCCTTTCGGCACAGCTGATCAGCCAGAGAAGCGACTCTCGCTTTGAGAAGATCCACCGCCGCCGCTGCATTGCAGTCATCGCAGCTGCGCAGACCAGCACTCTTGAGCGGCTCATCCTGACGATGGGTAGTGCAATTATGCCGACTTGGGAGATGCACTTGGCCCGGATCCTCGTGCTTATGCTGACAAAATAGGCTGATGCAGAGCTGAGGATCGAGCTCAAGCACCCTGGCAACGGGATGCTGCTGCTGCTGCTGCTGACGATGACGATGATGATGATGATGATGATGATGATGATGATGACTGAAAGAGCTTGCATGATGCCTGCTGCCATCGCTACTATCATCATCAGTGCCATGAAGCTCCAAGCTAAGGTGCCGAATGAGACCGACGGAGGATTGATGATTCGGATGGATACTGGTGGGAGGAAGAGGAGGAGGGAGGGAAGGAGTAACAGTCGTTATACCTGCGGTGGGAGTAGTATGATTAGGTGGATGTAGGGTCTTTTTCGTGTGCTTCCAAGCGCATGAAACTGAGCTATTGGTGGCCAAGCAACTGCTGCTCTTGTTATACGCAGCGTTAGCAGCTTCATTGGCACAGAGAATGGTGTAAGTGGAGTTGACATTGCAATCACCGACCTTGCTACCTGGAGTTCTGGTAGGGAGAGAACACCCTCCGCATGCGCATGATGGGGCACTGACGACGCCCGGAGACAGTGTTGGCGGCACCACGAGCTGAGGCTCAAAATCCAGGAAATCTGGTGTGCGGAGTCTGCAATTGGACCTCTGAGTCGTTGCATCTTGATCTGCCCGGTCGTCCAAGGTAACAGCTGGCCTGTTCCGATCACCGACAGGTGCATCCACAGTCCCCAGGGGTAGGGATACCGACGAAGTAAAGCGATCTTTACCCCACGACGTTATGGCAGCCAACGGTGACGGGATCGGGATTTGGATTTGGCTCATAGCCACCTCCACCTCCACCACGGCAGGCGACTCCGGTTGTTCCAGCTTCTGCTGCATTTCACGGTCCTTATCATCAATGACGGCGGCAAAGCTCTCCATCACATAGTACTATATTATTGGCATCTATCTGCCCATTCACACCGGCAATTCACGGACGCTATCATTGTGAGCAAATCGACCCTTCAGCACCTCAACCATTATCACATCTGTCACATACACGACGACGATGATGATGATGATGATGATGGCCACAGCGAGGAAGAGAGAAAGATGACCAATAATACATATCAAATCATGACGATGATAAGAATAATACTGCGATCAGTAGTATAGACTGTATAGTAATAACGATGATCACGTGATCATATAGTTAAACAATATAAGACAATGATAATAAATTAATGATAGACCTAAGATAGTTAATATGGTTGCCCCGGGCCCGGACATCCCGACATCCCGACACCGGGCCCGGATCCATGTCTGGACGTAACCGGACATTGGGACATGCGGACGCGGACGGTCCGGTTGGGCAGGGTCATGTCCGGTTGTCGGATGATCCGGGGAAAAAGAAGGGGGGGAAGAAAACAGGAACCCACACACACACACTGCTGGGGCGCAAGTCGTCGAAGTGCCTCGTCACAGTATAGCTCTCATGCTTCGGCATCCTGTAGAGAACAGAACAAAAAAACAAGCACGACGTTTGTTAGAGCCAGGGACTCCCCCACTTCCCACACACGCTTTCCCCCCCCTCCAGCAATCAATCAATCGATTGACCCCCCGGCCCGTCAGCACCCCTCTGCCTCGTCCCGACACACCCCTCTTCGTCGTGGCCTAGTCCCCCCGTCCCCTCAGCACCACCTCCCCCGTCGCCCTGCCCCTTCCTAGTCCCGTCAGACCACCCTTCCTCATCGCCCTGCCCCTTCCTTGTCCCATCAGACCCCCTCCCTCGTCGCCCTATCGCCCCCCTCTTAACGAAGAACGAAAAAACACAAAAAAGCGAGAGAGAGAGAGAGAGACCCCTTCCTAGTTCAGACACAGAGAGAGAGAGAGAGAGAGAGAGAGAGAGAGAGAGAGAGAGAGAGAGAGAGAGAGAGAGAGAGAGAGAGAGAGAGAGACCCCTTCCTAGTTCAGTCACTACCTCACCCCGGCAGACTCCCCGTCCCCTCATCCCGTCAGACCCCCCCTCATCCCGTCAGACCCCTCTCCCTCGCCCCGACACAACCCTCTTCGTCGTCGCGTCAGAACCCCCGTCCCGTCAGCACCCCCTACCTCGTCGCCCTGGCCCTCTTTGAATGATGAACAAAATAAAACAAAAATAAGCGAGCGAGAGAGAGAGAGAGAGAGAGAGAGACTGACCTCGTTGGCGGCTCTCCTTGGCGCGTTGCCGATGGCGTCCTTTGTGATGGCGACCTCCTTCAGCGGGCAGTGGCAGCGGGAAATGGCGGCGGAGCTTCAGCGACGCATTCCTCCCGCCGCGTGGACGGCTGCCTCCGAGTTCGAAAACTGAAACTGAGAACTCCCGCCTGAAAACTCCCGCTGCCGGGAGAAGTGTTCCTCAGGGCCAGAAGGGGGAAATCAGTGCTTTGGAAGTCCTTTTTTTTTTTTTTGTTTTTTTTTGCGGCCCTATGGAAATCAGTGCTTTGGAAGTTCTCTTTTTTTTTTCTTTTTTTTTTTTGGCGGCCCTTGGAAATCAGGGCCCTATGGCCCGGATCAGACAGATACTACACTTTATCTTAGCCAAAAGGTCGAGAAAGGTATAGGAAGCTTTGGAAGTTCAGGCTGGGTCCCCTCTATATAGTGCTAGGTAGGTAGGGAAAGGCAAAAAGAATTTGGACCATTTCTCGAGTTTCTCGAGTTATACGTGTCATCCTTGCGCAGGGGACATGCTAATCTTCTGTGTATCGTTCCATTGACCATCTGTAAAGTTCACGTCCTTCAGGGGCTGTCCGGATGGGGCGCGTTTTTTTTTTTTTTTTTTTTTTTTTT